CCGCATTGCTCACGATGTTAAATGTTAAAAATCAAACGTTCCCACCACCCACAACAATGTTTGATTGTCACAAGTTTGGCGACGAATTTCCCCTGCGCACGGATATTCTGACGGAGGGAATTGGGGCGCGGCTGCACGGCGAGACCGGCACGGAAAGTTCGAGCTCTTGGCCCAGCTCACGGCCCAACTCTTGACCCAATTCACAGCCAAACTCTCGGCCCAACTTAGGGCCCAACTCAACTCTCGAATGATCCATTGCCGAGCTCCCATCCGGGGTTAGGCCTCGTGGCTCTTTCTCACATTTCGCTTGCGTCGCAGCGTTTTCCGCGCCAATCGTCCAACCCGGAATTTCGCGCGTGGACGAATGTGACATTGCAATTTACGTTTCGTCGGAATTCAAAACATTGGAAATGCACTGCAAAAGAGTAACATTATAACAAGGGTACCATTTCACACGCAAGGAAAAACACAGTGAGCATTTGTACATACTCGCGCGCGCACGCACGCAGACACACACACAAATAAAATGCATCGTTACCTTTGACAAGATGTTCTCACCCGTCAAGGTTTATGGGCGACGTTAGGTGGGGGCAACTGTTAACAGTTGTTTGCAACAATTATTACGCTCATGTTGACATTGGCCGAGTGGCACAGGGCTCAGAGAGCTCGCGGTCGGGAAGTCGGACGTTCGAATCCTGGTTGAGGTCCGGCTCGACCCACCATCCCGCCGTGGTTGGTAAAACGAGTGGTACCAAATTTCGATTTAAAGCTTTCGTGACTGCAGGGATTCATCTTCTTGGTTCTTTCGGTAAAGTCACAGACCTGTTCTTCACCTGAGGACGGCTGCTTGCGTTGTGGCCGAAACGTCGTGAGAATTATTTTATTATGTTTATTTTTATTATTTTATGATTTCCCTTCTACGTGACTTTACCGAAAGAACCAAGAAGACGAGTGGTACCACTTTGTGATTGTGCTAGGATAGACTAGCCTCCGGCATACCACTGTGGAATTTCCAACATTGGTTCAGGGCTACAAATGGACACGAGCGCTGATGCAACACTCGTTTGTTCGAGAAATGTTGAGCGATGTTTTAGGGAATGAGCTCTTCTGTGACCTGTGCTTTTGGTATGGAAAACTACGTGGGGAAATCAAACGAGACCCATACGACTGCTCTTCAAGACAAGTGTTAAATTAATGTTGGGTTATCGTACAAGCGTTTAAATACGGGTATTACTCTTACGTTTTTCTGCAACATAATCGCGTTCTACCTTTATCGAAAGACCGAGTATTCGATGCATACGGCAGCCTGCGACGTCTCGCGTAGACCTTAGCTCAAGGGCGCGGTTGGGCCACGGGCCGAGAGGCAAGGACTCAGCAGCGGTGGCCCACGGTAGCCAAACGTGGCCTTCCTGAACGGTTCAAAGATCGTGCTAAAAGAGGCGGCTCCCGGTGGCAAGTTCGGAGCGTTCAGCTGGCACTGCCGATATTCTGGGTTCATCCCAAGTTCTCAGGCGTAGCGAGTTGACGGACTGAGCCCCAGTCACCAATGGCTGCACATGATTAAAAAAAAACCGTAACAATGAATTTGGTTTTGCACTTAGTTTGGCTAACTTCCAGCTGTGAGAATTAAACAAAGTATTGGTTCGACTGTCACCCGATGGACAATACTCTCAGAGGCCGCTTGAAAGGGACCTCAGTGGTAGCTCCGTGTTATCCGTTTCCACGGGCCGTTCTCCCACACGAGGGTGACCACTGGCTCCGCGAGAGACCTCAACGTATTCTACGTCTCGCGACGCGACACCGGATAGCACACCGTCGGGATAACACCGCGGGGGAAAAAGACGCAACAAAAACAATACGAATAAAAAAAACAACTCGCTGCACTCGAACAAAAACGGCCGACGGACGCGCGGCGAATTTTGCAGCAGACGCGCGAGCACAGCGTCATCTACAGGAGCGCTCGGTACAAAGCGGACGTTCGTAAAACCATTACGGTGGCCCGCGACCCACCTTCGCTCGAGGCGCGACGTAGCTCAGCGTTCTTCACTCATTATCAGAAGGGGGGGGGGAGGGAGGCGGCTCACTTTCGCCGATAAGACATCATCGGTGTGAGGGCCGCGACACGTTTAAAACCATTTGGGGCTTGACAGCACGATGATGATGGGGGAGGGGGTGGGGGTGTTTTCACACCGACAGAACCCAACGTGACCTAACGGCCCACTGAAGCCTCGCTTGAGTGACGACCTCGCGGGAGGAGTTGAATTTGATGCCGTGGTCATTAGCGCGCGGCGCTACGAACCCGCCGCCGCGGGCTGAGTTACATTCCCAGCCAGGGCCGACAAAGGTAGCGAGCGGTATATACGAACCGGTCCTCGGGTGCCCCCCTTCACCAACCGGCAGTAACCAGTATGGTGAAGTATGGTCAAGCAACCCCACCCCCCCGCCCCGCCTGATGCGGCGTGGGAAGCCCCTTCACCTGTCAACGGATTGACAAATGGGCTGCAAGTAATTTGAAAAAAATTACTTATGTTGGGCGAGGTGGGACTTTAGAATTTGCGTGAGTAAATGTTACGTGAAACCAGCAGTCAATCGGGCTTCGGGTACGGCAAAAGGGGGCAGAGCCAACGGCTCCCAAATGTGTTTTGTTCCTTTCCCCCCGTAGCAAATTACCCGTGCGACCGATTGCGTCGTACTCGATTTAACTCGTCGACCGACATCGCCGATTCATCACTGGGTCCCGTTGGGTCAAGCCGTGCGGGCGTAAAACGTCAATTGCAGCCGTCGCCCTCCAGCCAGACAAGTTGCCAAGTGGGCAAGATGTGCCAGTTGGGTTACCTGGCCCCGCCAGGCTGGTGGAGGGATACAGAGCTCATGTCGAGACCGCGCTAAGTCCTTTTTTAACGCAGCAAACGCGCCCCCTTGTAAAAAGTGCCACTTTAAGTGGAAAAAAACGTGACGCAAAACCCCCCACAAACAGTTCAATGATCGATAAAGTTTTGGCGACGCACGAGGCACTGCAACGCACAACACGGTGAGATGGCGGGACAAGTAACGGAGGGTACGCCGCTGCATTACTGCTGCATCATCCCGCGTGCTGTGTCATTGCACCGCTCAGCTCAAGAAAGTAGTTCGTCACCGACCGCCGTAATAACGTCTCGAGGGCAGGCTCTCTAGAGATCTCTCTGGAGATGTTTTCTTCTGCCAGCAGTGTCGTGAGCACGCATTTGCAGGGCTTCACCTTTACCTTCTCTTAACCGAGAAACGAGGGCAAACTTTGCCGCACGGCGACTACTTAGGCCTGCCGCAGGTGCCTTACGATGTCTGCCGCTCAACGTCTTTGGGTGGTCCTTGGCCTCAGGTCGCCACCGTTCCGATGAAGAATCGTCACCAGAAACATCTCACCTTGCTCAACGGGTTATTCCCCGAGAAGGCGGTGGTAATTAAGGACAGTTCCGTGATTTCGGACGTACGTTTCGGACACTTTAAAGATGCGGGGCAATCATTAGTGTAATCACGTAGTGGCTTTTTTACACGGCCAAAGTGTGCGTCACCCAATCAGGCCTGAGACTAATTGCCTGTCCCCCCCTTTTCCTGATGGGAGTCGTAAAAATTGCGTGGTGCAGGCGGCCGGGCCCGGACCAACGGACACTCTCACCCACGCCGAGACGCGCGACGCCGGTGCATTCCGTTTCGTGTCGGCGCGTCAAATCAGTGACATTCAATAAATAAGCCGTACTTTCTAATATCGGTCGACAATTAACCGTCAAAATTACCCCCGCGCGTGTTTCCCTCGGACGGTTTTGCCCGAGGATGCTGGGGGTGGCGAGTATTCTCGGTAAGCGTTTGCTCGCTAGCTGGGCAATGCCTTCCTCAAGCTGCGCATGGGGAGGACTGCAAGCCAAGCATGCGCAAGATTAAATAAAAATCGATGGCAACCCTACAAAAAAATTATCAAATGGTTCCAACTTTGTCGATAGACAGCCAGGCCTATTTTATCGTCTAGGCCAACAAGTCGTTCTCAATATTTCTGCAAATAATTTGCGCGGACCAACGTGCACCAATGACATATTGTTCATGTCTGCAACAGTTCAGCAGAGTGCATCCCACGGCCTTGCAGACCACCAGGGGTCCACGCACTACAACTTGTATACCAACGTTGTTGGTCTGAGGCTTTGCTACGGAAATAATTTTAAGCCCATGGTCACATGCCTTCAGCGAGTGCCACTGTAGCGTCCTCCATTGACATGGCTGGGTGATGCTTGCCGTACTTTTTAAGGCAATTTAATGATGCGCGGTGCATTGTGACAGCCGCCACTACAGCTACATCATGGTGCATTGTGGGAGATGGCACTACAGCGACATCATGTAGCACTGTGGCAGCTGCCGCTACAGCTACATCAGGATGCATTGTGGGAGATGGCACTGCAGCTGTATCATGGTGCGTTGTGCATTTGTGGGAACCAGCCACATCATGCCGATGGTGGTTGGTGCACGGTCGGGAAAATAACCTGTGGTGACGACACGTGATCAGGGAGATGGTTGGGCCGGAATTTAGAAAGTCAGTGGACGGATTCTTTCTATTTTTATTTACAGGGTTACAAACCGTCGCACTGCCCTGGATCGAAATCCCTTTCGCTAACAAAAAGTAATTACACCATTGGAACCTCATTTGCCAGTAAAAAATATGATAATTGTTTTTTTACCCTTCTATCTGGCAACAAAACTGACACCTTTTTTACAAGGAGTCATGTTTACATAGACCACAATACCTGCAGTCATAATGCGCCTTTTGGCGTCATCTGGTCCAACCCATGTGAGACTAGGCTCTAAGGAAAGCTGTCTCGGGTGTGGACCAACCAACTTCAAGGACAGTGCACATTATCAGAGTTATGTTTTTTGTTTGCATTATGACTGCAGGTAGTGGTCTATGTAAACATGACTCCTTGTAAAAAAGGTGTCAGTTCTGTTGCCAGATAGAAGGGTAAAAAAACAATTATCAAAAAGTAATTAGTCGCCAACCCTCGTCGTTATTTTCGTTTGGGTCGCCTCCTACAACCCGACGCTCACCTCACTCCCCGCGGTCGCGCTCGACCGCGACAGGGCGCGCGTGCGGGGAGCCTTCCGAACTCCGCAGGGTTCGGCAACGTTTCATCGCGACACCGGCGTGAAGGCAGAGCCGGCCATTGAGAGAGTGGTGTGGGCGGGGCTGGGAGAGCGGCCGGGGTCGGTGTCCGGGGAGAGGGCGGCCAATGAGAGGGGAGCGTGAGCGGGACTGGGGGCGGGGCTGGGGGTGTCCACGTGTGGGGACGTGGCCGGGGACGGGCGGCAATCGCTGCTGCTGCAGGGCGACAGGCTGGAGGAAGAACAGAGGCAAAGCGATGAGCGCGAGCGACGCGCGATCACCCTCCCTCACCTCGCGACACGGTTCAGGACACACGGCGGTTCATAATGCACGGTGATTTGACGGTACAGCGTTTCATGCGAGACGCACGTTACGAAAATCGCGCGATGAACACGAATTCACGACCGCACGTGATTCATGGCGCACGAAACACGACGCGATAACCGATACACGTCATAGGTGGTACTAAGAGAACCTGCCCCTGCAGTTAACAAAGGCTACAAGAAGGACCCGTGTGTGTGTGTGTGAGCGTGCAAGTGAACTCTGACCTCTGGTTGAGCATGCTCGATGTGAAGTTGAACTCCAAGTCGCCGGTACCAAGAAAAAGGCGCTTGGAGGTGTGGTCCACTTCAAAGTCGGCTGTGGAACAACTCACAGGTGTGAGGAACAACTCACAGGTGCGTGGAACAGCTCACAGGTGCGTGGAACAGCTCACAGGTGCGTGGAACAGCTCACAGGTGTGAGGAACAATGTGCGTGGAACAACTCACAGGTGCGTGGAACAACTCACAGGTGTGAGGAACAACTCACAGGTGCGTGGAACAGCTCACAGGTGCGTGGAACAGCTCACAGGTGCGTGGAACAATGTGCGTGGAACAGCTCACAGGTACGCGGAACAGCTCACAGGTGCGAGGAACAATGTGCGTGGAATAGCTCACAGGTGCACGGAACAACTCACAGGTGCGTGGAACAGCTCACAGGTGCGAGGAACAGCTCACAGGTGCGTGGAACAACTCACAGGGTGCACGGAACAACTCACAGGGTGCACGGAACAACTCACAGGGTGCACGGAACAACTCACAGGGTGCACAGAACAACTCACAGGGTGCACAGAACAACTCACAGGGTGCACGGAACAACTCACAGAGTGCACGGAACAACTCACAGAGTGCACAGAACAACTCACAGGGTGCACGGAACAACTCACAGAGTGCACAGAACAACTCACAGGGTGCACGGAACAACTCACAGGGTGCACGGAACAACTCACAGGGTGCACGGAACAACTCACAGAGTGCACGGAACAACTCACAGAGTGCACGGAACAACTCACAGTGCACAGAACAACTCACAGGGTGCACGGAACAACTCACAGGGTGCACGGAACAACTCACAGGGTGCACGGAACAACTCACAGAGTGCACGGAACAACTCACAGAGTGCACGGAACAACTCACAGAGTGCACGGAACAACTCACAGAGTGCACAGAACAACTCACAGGGTGCACGGAACAACTCACAGGGTGCACGGAACAACTCACAGGGTGCACGGAACAACTCACAGGGTGCACGGAACAACTCACAGGGTGCACAGAACAACTCACAGGGTGCACAGAACAACTCACAGGGTGCACGGAACAACTCACAGGGTGCACGGAACAACTCACAGGGTGCACGGAACAACTCACAGGGTGCACGGAACAACTCACAGGGTGCACGGAACAACTCACAGGGTGCACAGAACAACTCACAGGGTGCACGGAACAACTCACAGGGTGCACGGAACAACTCACAGGGTGCACGGAACAACTCACAGGGTGCACGGAACAACTCACAGGGTGCACGGAACAACTCACAGGGTGCACGGAACAACTCACAGGGTGCACAGAACAACTCACAGGGTGCACGGAACAACTCACAGGGTGCACGGAACAACTCACAGGGTGCACGGAACAACTCACAGGGTGCACGGAACAACTCACAGAGTGCACGGAACAACTCACAGGGTGCACGGAACAACTCACAGGGTGCACGGAACAACTCACAGGGTGCACGGAACAACTCACAGGGTGCACGGAACAACTCACAGGGTGCACGGAACAACTCACAGGGTGCACGGAACAACTCACAGGGTGCACGGAACAACTCACAGGGTGCACGGAACAACTGACAGGGTGCACGGAACAACTCACAGGTGCGCGGAACAACTCACAGGTGCGCGGAACAACTCACAGGGTGCACGGAACAACTCACAGAGTGCACGGAACAACTCACAGGGTGCACGGAACAACTCACAGGGTGCACGGAACAACTCACAGTGTGCACGGAACAACTCACAGGGTGCACGGAACAACTCACAGGGTGCACGGAACAACGCAGCATGCTCTACCACCCACACTATGAGAGAAGAGCCCTTAGGCTACGGAGAGCCGATTAAGACTTTCCAGTTGCCGCTCAAAGCCGAACATTTTTTCCCCAACAGACAGCCGGGCGGCGGTGGTTTGTTGTGCTGCACGTGGCCGCCTGCGATCCAGCGCAGATGTTGTTGTGAAACTCCCTGTGGGCATCGTTGGGGCCGTTTCGCCAGAAGGCAGTACAGCATGTGGGCTAATCGCCATTCGCTCCCATTTGTAAAGGGATAGAGCGGCTTGCTCTATCCGATTTTCTCACACACTTGTACAATAAACACAACTCGTCGTTAATCGGCTGAAAACATCTTGAAATAGAAAAAAAACCCAACGCAGGATCCGCGTGAACACGAGTCATACGACTCAAGTGTGGCTTTCCTGGATATCTAAGCAAGTAATTTGAAAAAGTAAATTAATGGAAGCCAAGCAGTTAAATAACAAGCACGCTGCATACTGTCACCGTCTCTCCGTATCTCACCGCACTTCTGCATTTCTCCGTTTGTGCGCACTCCTGGCACCTCTCCGACTCCTCGTTTCTTGTTTTCTGTGTCCGAATGCCTTTGTCGACATCTTTCCTCTCTCTCTCTCTCTCCGTGTCTCTGGGCCTCTATTCTCTGTATTTGAATGCTCAACGCCCTCCCGTGTCCCTCCGTGTCCACCTCACTGTCTAAACGTCTCTCGCGGCTCTCTCGTGTCGAATCGCTCCACGTCTCTCTACGTGCGCTGCCTCCTTAACTCTGTGTCATCCTTGTCTTTCTCTCCGCGTCTTTCTGTCGACAGGAGGCACTGCGTCACGCGCTTTTCAGATGCACTTCTGCGGCGATCTGGAACACTCTTCCTTCCGAAACTAAGGAAATCGCTTGAGCTATGCACTTTTAAATCTAGATTGAAAACTAATTTCTTCAGAACTGCTTTTTGTGTTTAGTTTGTTGTCCTCCGATTAGCACGGTTGGCTACGTACGGTGCGAAAGAAGTTCAACATGCCTACATACATACATAGATGACAACAGCATGCCATGTGTGGAAGTACTCAACGGGGCTCACCTTTCCTCTTGAGCGATCCGAGGGTGCTGGGGCGAATGTGGCTGATGGGACTTGCACTTCGTTTTCTGTTAAGAAACGAATAAGGCGCACACACACGCACGAGCGCAAGACCGCACGCACGCACTAGTAAGGCGTTTTATCGATTGCAGCGATAGAATGAGCTGAACCCCTCAAAACCAAGATGAAAACTCGCAACACAAACCCCTGAGTCATGGTAAACAAAGGCGTAGGTAGCAGAGGAATAAACTCGTCCTTTTGCATCGTGGGCTCAGGGTGGAGCAGTGGTGCAGCGGCCAGTGCGCTGAGCTATGAACCCGGCACACATCAGTTCGATTCCCGGCCATGGCTAACACCAGTGGCGAGTTATACCCAAACCCGTCCATGGCGCCTCCGTCCATTTTGACTAATCCGTACTGACCAGCGTGGTGCAGTATGGTCTAATAGAGCAAGACGATTAATTAACTGAGAAAAATTTGAACTGGACACTTTTTGTTATGGCACTATTACTCTGGTCCATTTAAATATGACGGCCACCCTGACTTCCTGCATCCCGAAAGCGAAAAACTCCCTAAGAACCAAGCACAAAGTGACGAGGCCGATGATCAGATGACCTCACCAAGCCCCGTCCATCACCTCCCGTACAGCGTCACACGTGGGAGCAGAGGCGAGACCTTTTTTGCCCCCACTCTCTTTTCACGTGACGCGATTAGTCGAGCAATCAAACACACTAATTTGGCAGTCATCGATTATCTAAACATTCAGGTATCCCAGGTCTGCAAACAACGGGCCCTCGACCTACAAGCGCGGAAAGGCAGATTGATGGGGAAAAAAAAAAAGGGGTGGCTAATGAACGACGTACGTATGTATGTACGTCGAACTTCTTTCGCACCGTACGTAGCCAACCGTGATAATCGGAGACGCGATGAAGTGAATCGTGGCCATGAAGGAGGGTGAGGCGAGGAGGAGTGGCGTTGGCTGCTTACGTGGTGAAGCGGCGAGGACTCGGAGCCCTGCTGGGGCTGACGGGCGCTTGCAGTGACGGCGAGTACAGTTGCTGGGAACACAGGCAGCGGGCGCTTTGCTCAGACGACACCCGCGACCATCACAAATGTTTCAAACACCCCAAAGTTCTCCGACACCCGCGCTCAACGTTGACGTTTAACGCTTTCACACTCGGCCATAACGAGTTGTCTATGCCGTTCGCCTGTAACGGGGCTTGTCTATAGCCGTATGTCTGTAAAGAAGATTCAATTCATTCTTCACCTCGGGACGGCTGCTTGCGTTGTGGCCGAAACGTCGTGAGAATTATTTTATTATGTTTTCTTTTTATTATTTTATTACTTCCCTTCTACGTGACTTTACCGAAAGAACCAAGAAGATGAATCCCTGCAGTCACGAAAGCTTTAAATCGAAATTCAATGTGAATCAACGTGTAACGTGAACCTGCGTTGCTATTAGGGGACTTAACCTGTTTAAAAATTGGCCGAATTGGTCAAAGAGTTGCCGAAATCGCAGAGATCAAAATTCAGAGCAAAAAGGATTTATTTTATTTTATATTTGCCAAACATTTTGGCCGGAGAGATAACCCCGTTGGCTTCCATACTGCGAATGAAATACTTCCACGACAAAACGCAGGTTGAAAAGCGTAACATCACCCTTGCATGTATGCACGGTTTTTTACAAATTGTTTTGGTGTAGACTTAATTATAAAATCGATTCATCGCTCAGCACTAACGTGATTTGGAATGCTTCGTTATAGTTTTCTGCAATTCATTTATGTACTTTGAGCAATTTGTAAATCTATATGTTATTTATATTAATTTATAACTTGCTTAACTTTTCTCTATCTGGCTCTGATACCGTTTTTTGTTGTATTTTTGTTGTTGATGTAACTTGCTGACCCATCCCTACTGGACACCTGTGATTAGCACGGTTGGCTACGTACGGTGCGAAAGAAGTACAAACATACACACATATGTACGTCGGTGAAAACGAGCATTGTAAAGCTCATCAGAGTCCTCCAGTCTAAATAAAGATTCTGATTTGCAGGCCCCAGTGTTTAGGTACGACTCTAGCCGCAAACACTCGGTTTACCCAGGAGGCGTTCGGTTAGCAATGAACGTGAACGTGGTCGAACGGCTCAGAGGAGCCATACTGGCTGTGTGAGATATGATAATCTGGTACCACGAAAGATCATGGGTTTGAATCCGGGTTTAGGTGGCTCGTGATTAAACCAGGCTGTCAGGAGTTTTGAGTCTACAGTCTCAGCCCAGTCACCAATGACCGCACAATAAACCGTGACCACTTGATGCGAGACCTACGCTTCATTTGCCAAAGCAAGATTTTCTCCCAATAGGTGTAGATTTGAATTCATCACCCACGGCCTCACCTTGCCAATGCCACGGGTGGGCGACGGAGATGGCGATAGCGGGAAAAAGTCCGACCTGCGCTGGGTGATGGTTTTTTCCAGCTCGGGCAACGCTTCACTCTGAGCGGCAAAACACACGGGGCAATACGCTCAGCCACTCCCGAGCGATTTACCAAGTGACGCTGTGATCTCCCCACTATTGAGACGCTCCAGAAAGTTAAGACGCACATCCAAAACATATGCACCGTGTCAATAAAGTAACACAAGTCTGGTGACACACAGACACACACCGCACCCCCACCTCAAGTTTTGTTTTGAATATGGCGTGAAAAAAGTTTGCCTTCTAAAACAAAGAATATAACCTCTGCACAGTGGTTACATTATGGTGGCATTGAACAGGACAACCACCGTTTACTGCTAAGCCGGCCGCAAGTAATATCTCCTCATACGCGTGCCGGGTTTTCTCCGGACAATCCCGTTTCCTCCCACATGCCAAACAACCGTTAATGAAATTAGCCAAACTTCCCAACGAAAGACTTTCCTCAAAATAAGTCTTGAGACTTGGCGAGGGCTTGCACTGGCATCTTCTGGTGACCTCGCGGTCACCGACCTGCTTAGCTTTCCCGAGATCTCGCGCGAGTTTGTAGCAATCAGGGTGAGAATTGTTCACGGGAAATTCGTATTTTGTGTTTCCGTTTGCTTTTGTTCCGCACCAGGGAGAGATCTTCGCACGACTGGCTGATGTGCAGGGCGGCCCTGGTCTCCCTCTCATGTGCTGTTTCACGATTTATCAAGTCTGCTCCCTCCTCCTGTTCATGCGCACACGCACGCAAAAAAATCACCGTTAGAGTGGCTCACTCGCCGCTCGAGTATCAGCGGTGCCACTCATCTCTGCATTGCCGGCTCCCAGCTGGCGGTAGAAATATCCTCACCTGTTTAATCTGGTTGACACGACTGCTCATTACTCTGCCAGGTGACGGTGGCGTTGCCTGCAAATGCAAACGACAAACAAAGTGTAAGTCAACAACAACGGTGGAAAAACAAAACAGACTAAGGGGTTGGTTTCGGATTTAGTTTTCTCGTAGACCAGGGGTGGGGAACCTTGTTTCTGCCAAGGGCCATTTGGATATTTATAACATCATTCGCGGGCCATACAAAATTATCAACTTAAAAATTAGCCCGTTATATTTGGTCAAACATTTAATTAACTCACCCCTAATGCGATGGCTGGAACTGCTTCTCTTTGGCGAGGCGTGTGATGTTAGCTGGTATTGATGATGTTGCTACCGCAACTGCTTTTCCAGGTTTGCTCCTAGATTTATTAAATTTTGAGTCCCGCCTGCGGTTGCCTTGGTATGGCCAGACCAAATGATTTCGCGGGCCTTATACGGCCCGCCGGCCTGACATTCCCCACCCATGTCGTAGACTATGAACCCAGCAATTGTAGTTTGATTTCCTGGCATAACGAGTGTACGTGGCAAATGATATCTGTACGATCAAACAACTCTCATGAACGACAAGGTATTTTTTTCTTTAGGCCCAACATTGGATTTTATTTCATATTTTTTTATTTAAATGTCAGAAATGTTTACGACGTTAATTTTTTATGCACCGGTGTGAAGGAGGGGGGCTCTGCCTGTGACGATGGAGACAGTCTAAACACAAGTCTTCACTCGGGGTCTCACCGTTCCCTGTCGGCTCAGGAAGCCGCCGCTGTTTCTCCGGCTCTTTCCGTCGCTCGCCAGAGACAGTGGGCTCCCTTCTCTGCTGCGGAGAGGAGACGCGGGCATGAGCAAATAACAAAAACTGCCGTTCATCACTAAGTGGCGGGGGCGTCGCTTGGTGCACTTTGAGGCCACGGTGGACACGGAGGCCACGTGAAGTGTCGAAGGCCCGCTGGCAAGGAGGTCACGGAACAAACCCCGGTGCCTTGGGTTGACCGAGATGACTGGCAGATGAGCACACACACAAGCACGCCCGTGCTCACACACTGAAGCAAGCAAAATCATCACCATCGCTTGCATTTTTTTTCATTATCAAAACTATAATTGAACAGCCATCAAGTTCATCTTGTTGGACGAGGGCCTCCCAATGTCACGGTGGGTCATGGGGTTGAAGAAGTAGAAGTGGGGGGGGTGCCCTGGCCAATCCATTGCCGTGGCAATGGATTGGGGGGTGGGGGGGTGGAACTAACGTGATCAGATGCATGGCGATGCGGCTGCCCCCAACCACTGCATCACCGCTCCCACGAATTAGACACGTGTTTTTGTTGCTGCTGCTGCTGTTGTTGTTGTTGTATGCGTTACTTGTACCCGCACGTGCCTCGCTTACTCGAGCGAGGCAGCAAAAAAAAAGTAATTCCGTCTTCACTTTCGTGATTTTAACCGGCCTCGTCAATTCCACATTCCTTGCGACTGGGGTCACGTCCACCCACGTCGCCAAACTTTAACATCCCGTGTCTTGCTGGTTCTCGTCCTGGGCACGCTCTTGCAAACTCCACGTTAGCGTACCGGGACCAAGTACGTCTACAAAACGTGTCACGACACAGCGATTAGGTATCGATAACGTTATGGTCTCATCACCGCGCTGTTGGTAAACTCCACGTTAGCATGTCGGGAGCAAGTACATCTCAAATCAAAGAGGTTTTTGTTTTTTTTACCCGATGTTGTTGATCATTGGCGCGCTGTTGTATCGCCTCAATGCAGCCCCGTCCCCGAGGTCGGGATCCCCGGCGTCGCCTGGAGACTCCACCGCCTCCACCTCCATCTCCCCCGGCCGGGACATTCAAGCCGAGCCCGGCCACACTCCCCTACACTAGGCCCCAACACGGGCCTCAAGCCACATTTGCAAATTGAGTGTGAAAAATAAATCTTCTTAAAAAAATGTTTTTATTATTATTATTTTAATAATCTGCGAATTGTTGCAAACGATGTTAAATTCTCGCCGCGGCTGTGCGCAGTCAATCGCTGGGGTGGGCACGATAACCGGAGGATTCCATTTGAATGGGGTTCCACCAAGGCGCCGTTGGGCCGATGCGTGAATTAAAAAACGCGGGGTCGGTTCCGCGACGTTTGTCCAAACGCCAACCCGTAATTCGCGCGGTTCAATTTTTTTTATTTGTCCAACAATTGGTGGCAGTAGGTGGGGGGGTAAGTCAAAATCTTACATTTGTTTACCAATACATACGTGACTATGAACTAAACATCGACGCAATGTGTTAATTCACCTTCACAATGAATAAATACACGATGAAACAGATCGTGTTTGCTTATGATTAATTAAAAATCGAGTGTATATCATTTATCTCTAATAAACCCCCCCCCCCTCTGGAATGGTGGAAGTTCACTTGGACGAGTCCAACTTTCCCGCGCAAATCCGGATCCGCCCACGTGTTCATTCGACTCGGCGCGCCGTGGATGGATGCCCCAAGACTCCGAATCGACTCCATTTGAGGCGTTTTGAACGTTGTACAAACGTTGTAAAAACGTTGCGCACGGACGTTGCTTCCCCGGGCCTTCTGGGGCGTTCGCCGCGCTATGTCGAGAATGAGCATCGCGCCGGAGAGGCAGTGGGTCATGGTTCTACCCGGTACCCGTTTAGTTTTGTTTGTTTTGGTTTTACGCAAAGTGCATTCGTTGCACTTCATTCGCCGTCTCGTTGTGCTGTGATGAAGGGCCATTGCCCGAAACGTCGCCCTATTATGTTTTCATGTTAATGCCACACACACGTGTTCAATAGGCGAAACAAGTTGCCTATTGAATACAAGTCGCAATTTACACATTTTCCCTTTAATGCCACACACTGGTCGGTGTTCGTTATGAATTTGTTGAGGTGCTTTATAATCTCATTGATATCTTTGTGCGCAGATGGCCCTTAAAGTCCAACTGTCAGTGGGAAAGTCATTGCGAGTGCATTGAATTACGTCCACGGCCGCTTTAATTCACCCATTGATTCGGCTCATGAAGAATTGAACTCTGCGGTATCGTCTGCATACTGTTTCAGCTCACCGGTGTGCTAAAATTGTAACTTAATTGGCACGTTTTGTTTACGTTACAAACCTTACTTATTGCCTGTGTCGGGTGGTGGTTGGTTAACGACATTTATATTTACGCGATCTAACCCGACGAAACACAACTTTAATAAGGAATAAAAAAGTTGGTCCGGAAAGCCTACGCGTTAAAGTGCACCGGTGACCGATTCGTGCATTCAAAAGGAGACTTCATTAAATCCTTTATATTAAGTTTGCTTGCTTGCTTACAACCGTGCAAATCTTTCGGTCGTTTTTTAACCCACTTCCCGTGATCCAATCGAGCTGACATTTTGCGCACAGACTCGTTGTGCGAGACAATTAATGTTCGTGAAATTTTTTTTCCAAAATTTCACACTGTTTAGGGAAAACAAATTAAATATTTAATTACCAATTGCTTAATACTGGCAGACAATCATCTGACCCATAGGCGGCAGCCATCTCAAGCCAGAGGACGAGAGAACTCTAGCCGCCACGCATATAAAGGATTTATAGTGAAAAACTTTGTTTTTACGGGTTATACTTATTTTGTGACTTTGTAGGCGACAATTATCTTACCTACGCCTTGTTTTAGCTCCCTGCCTATTGCACCCCATTCCCACGTCCCCCCCAATCCCGCTCAATGCAAGCCACGCGTTCTCTCGCTCTGCTGTCCTTCATTCATAACCCCCCTTTGAACCTGCACGATTTTAAAAGGCAAAGAGATTTATTTAACACGTAGGCTTTCGCGACCAATTTGGGTTCATCCAAAAAAAAAACTCTAATCCAAAAACCTATATTATATACTTTGTGTTTAGTTAATTATCGATAGGTCCCGTATCTTGGAAGTTCGCATTTCAAGAATCGCATGGAAACGATGTTCAAGGCGCAGGCCCTGCAATTTCCCGCTCGCGCCACTGTTGGCGGAAGCCTCCTCCCACTAGAGGGAGCTCCCACAGTTACATTTCCCACCACTTCCACGGCTGACCGGCCGTCTTGGAAGAGGTGGGAGATCCCACACTTTTCCCCCACCGCATCCGATCTGCTTGAAACATTGCCCACAATTATTTTATTTTGAAATGGAGTGTAACTTGCTAGCCTGCTCCTGCTTCGTTTATCTGCTAACAAGAGCTTCGATTGCCCCATGGGATTCCTCCGACAATCTAAATGACGATTCTGATTCTGGAATCGAACCCGCGCTCTAAAGTCCAGTGTGTTAACCATTGCACGACGGCACAGCATGATGTAAGCAATGCAAATAAATAATTATTATTCTTTGGTTCTTTCGGTAAAGTCACGTATAGAGATCAAATAATAAATTAAATAATAGCATACGACGTTTCGATTGCAACACAAGCAATCATCATCAGGTATAATGAAATAGCGACATAAAATCTAACCAGAAAACTATAGACGGACATATAAGCAGACAGATATCACCAAGATACATAGAGAGAGCAACACAGGTACAGAGAGGGGTGGTCGTCTCTGTGGGGTGGCCTTAAATAGACAGAATAATTCCTGCAGTCACGATAGCTCCAAAATTAAGATTCAATAATTATTCTCACCAAGCATTCGGGTACTTAAAAAAAATGTGAACACTTGCATGAGACTATCGTTTTTAATGGAAAAAAGAACGGATAATACACTGTAACATGATAACAAATGTATGTTAATAGCTTCAAAAAGTCTCCACTGAAAGCCTGAAATCTTCTCCAGGTGGTCTCCAGAGCTCGGAGGCCAATTTCTCGTGGTATTTTTGCAAATTCTTAGAAGTGTGAACATTTTTTTGGAGCACTCTCCCTGTATTATCACCAGCACTGGAGAGGCGAATGTTTGGTACTAGTCAGACCACCCCCTCGTGTGCCGTGCCGGCCTTTATAGGTGCTCGCGAACAGCACTTGCCCCAACAGTCTGTTCAGGCTGTACGGGGATCTTTGTCTTATATGTGGCTGTGTTTTACTCTAGAATGGTTCCTAAAGGAAGCTGAGAATTCCGACTGCGACCCACATTTCATCAAACTCCCGCACCCCAAAACAGGTTTGAATTCTGCAATGGCGTCAACAAGTGCATTGCAATTGCTCTTCACATTTAGCCTTATTCGTTTACACATTGACACAATAGTCAACATGCATCTGTTTGATTGTATAACTTAGTTGTAATTGTACTTTGGTGAGTGAATATAATCTACCCGTGCCGACCTTGAATGACTGTAAATTTATTATCGATCAACATTCATGTCTATTTCCCATCTGACACATCAGTTTTTTTTTCCTTCCAAATTCCTACTTGCTTCATTGCTGCACTTAAATTTAATTTGTTTTGGTTTTTGTCAGTTTTGTGACCCAGATTGCCGTTGCAAATGAGACTCATCCTGTGGTCTTGAGCTCTCACCTGGATAAACAAAAATACACTTCAAGTTTCAAGTTTCATTTATTAGGTATAGCCCTGTGAGCCATTCGGCTCTTGAATCGGGTGCAACCGTAACAAACAAAAAACATGAACAAAAAACATCTTAAAGTGACTATGTGCAAACAGAAAATCCAAGAAAAGACAGCAAAATATTGCAGAAAAAATCACCGTACACCAACCCTGTGCAAAAATCCCAGTGGGATGCAAGTCAAACAACAACAACAACCACAAGACAACTTAGATTTAGGCCATCAGTCTAACTCTGTACTACAACAAACAAACATGGCCAAACCGAAAAACTTTTCAAAAATCACCAAAATAAAGCCATAAAAGCAATGAAACAGTGACAGTCACAGATTATGAGCCGGCTAGTGTCTATGCAGGCAGTTCATAATGTCAGAGGTACCAAACTCGCATCGCTCATAACCTCCCTCGCCCCCATTCGGTTTTGAATCGAGGAATTAGTCGTTGCAGGAATAAACCGAATTCTCAAGTCTAGTGAGCTGGTGGTCTAAGCCTTGGTTACGAATGACTGCACACACACAAAATCCATGCCGTGTTAAATTTAGCGTGTTACATAATTCAGATTATTCCAGCTTTGAGAATTAATAACGTAGGATTTGTATAACACTGGCTTCTAGTGGTCTAACAATGCAGTTATTAATTACATGATGTATATGTTTTACGTAGTTCCCCGCCGATTAATTTCAGTAATACACGGCGCCGTGTCAATAGTCCAAGAATCCACAATCGGAAGTCTCGCAGAGAAGTGTGCCCTGTGTGTAAGAGAACAGCCGACCGTAGTTATGTATTTTTTTACAGGATCCTTGCAAGTGAAGTTTGTAGACAGTAGGGGGTGCACTTTCCCCACACACACTACGCTGAGAGATTGTTGCATGGAAGTCAAACTGACCATTTGAGAGCTTCGATGTCGGCTAATACAATACAATTTTCATTTTTATAGCGTGTAAAGGTGACCGGGCGCTTCATAGAAAACAAAGTATTCAACAACAATTAAAGCATTAATCTGCATGCGCATGAAGTCCTGACTTGAACCGGTGCGGGTTCCGAACTGCGTGGAATTCAAGTGGAAGAGAACTCGAGGCACCTGGGGTTCAAAAGCCGAGAATGAGCGACCTACCGTGCAGTGCAAAACTAAATTTAATACGATCGGTTACAATGGCACCTCCGATTAGCACGGTTGGCTACGTACGCTGCGAAAGCAGTTGAGCATAAATACATACATGCGATCACGCGTGCAGTCGTTGCTGACCGAGTCTGACACCTTCAACTCACCGCACTTGGGAACCGGTTTAATCACTGGTGGCTGAACCCGGATTCGAACCCAGCTTCTCAGCAGTGCCGGGCTCGGTGACCTCTGACCTCTGAGCACACCGGGTCAGCACGATGAATCGCGATTCGTAATCTCGAATCCTGCGCGTGAACACTCGACGTTTCTCGGTCGGTGTGTGTTGAATCTAATGGCATCGTCTGATCTCTTGCAGCCACTAGTGGCCGCTACATTCACCGCAGTGTTTAACAATGCACGTGCACGTTTCTGCAACACTCTTTCAACGGTGCCTCTGACCTCGGATTTTTTGTTTACTCATTAATTCATGCGAACTACAGCACTTGAGCAAGTGGCTAGGTGAATAATTCATGCATCCTTAACGGGGATATTCCGTCGCGTATTCTTGACACAACTGAAACAACTTGGCAGAGGAATGTGCGCCGAGAGCGATTATTGAAGACAGGCTGGGATACAAAAAAAAGAAAAGAGATTGCATTTAAAAATGAACGAGAGCAGGTTGAGGAGCGCTTTTGTAAAGTTGATATCGCCTATGAAAAGTTCCTGAAATAGAACGTGTTTAATCAATCAAAGTCGACTACCCGCCTAGCAGGCCGTGAGGGATACTTTGACCAAATTTTATACATTCTACAGTAGCGAAGAAATACCAATGCACGTTGCCGAATATGATGATTTCTTTTTACTTCTTAAAATAGTTTTGTCTCGCTTGCAAGGTTGGCCAGTGTGTCGATACTACAGGAGTGCGACCATACTATGGACAGAATCGCAAACCCACACAGACACTTAGGGACCCATACAGACAAAGACACAGTAAAGACAAGTCACAGTAGTACGACTACGGCCAGGCAACTCAAACTATGGACCCTACAGCAAACCACTGTCGTCTGCGCTCATCCAACGGATTAGGAACAGCAACAACTACACAAACCCTGTCTCTCCTGAATCCCTCTTGTGGCTAGCAGCAGACCTCGACATTGGCATTTAGCTCGTGAATACATTGCTGCCATCATACGCAAGAATGGGGTGCCATGGTGGCTAGGAGATGTTAACTACCTCACCTGGTATACAGGAGGTCGTGGGTTCGATCCCGACCCTAGCGCCTGCTGCTGTATATTTGGATTGAAGCTTTCGTGACTGCAGGAATCCATACTCTTTGGTTCTTTCTACCTATGTATATTTGGTGTTTGCGTGTTCCCCCCGTGGTCGCGTGGATTTTCCTTTGGGTCCTCCGGTTTTTCCCTCCACATTTAGAAACATGCCTTTAGAGTATTTGGCTGCTATACAATTGCACATGATAAGCCACTTCGTTGAGCTATCATTTATCGCCAGGTCACTTCTGAAAAAGAGCTGTATAGCTCAGCGGGCCTTACCTGATAAAATGAAAACATAGTTTAGATAGAATCGGCACGTATACTGGTCGGCGTGGGTTGAAACAACAGCGGGTTTTGTTTCACTGCCCTCTGCTGCCCACAACGCCTCCATTGCCTTCTGTAGATGGTGGTCACACATCCCAGCACTCATCCCAGGCGCCAAACCCTGCTCGTTTTGTGAGATCTGACGAGACTGGGCGCGTTTCGGTCTTACCCGCTCGCATCACAAGTGTAGGGGAAATTACTCGCGCTTTCAGGTGCACTTCTGCGGCTGTCTGGAACGCTCTTCCTTCCGTTATTAGGAAGCCGCTGGAGCAATGCACTTTTAAATGACCAAGATTTCAAACTCTTTAGAACTGATTTTTGTTTAAATGTTTTTGTCCTTCCCCCGCACCTCCGATTCACACGGTTGGCTACGTGCGATGTGAAAGAAGTTCTACATATTTACTCAAACACCCGCAAAACCCTTATCACAGGGGTCGGGAACCTTTTTGACTGGGAGAGCCATAAAAGCCAAATATTTCTAAATATATTTCATTGAGAGCCATATAGTATTTTTTACGTATAATAAATTAAATATGTCTTACTTTTAATGCGACTTCTGGTGCTGCGTGGTTTTGCTGATGGCCTTGTAGTCTGGTTCATACGTGGTGAGGTTGAGCTTCGTGCAGGCGTGACCCGTGAAATTTATCTTCAAAACTAATTTCTGTTTACTTTAAAATGACACAGTATTATTAAACAATATCACAAGTATTTTAAAATCGGTTCCAAACTGATTTTTATTTATTTTTTCAACTCAAAATTGTCTGGGAGCCATATGCCGTCACTGGAAGAGCCATATATGGCTCGCGAGCCATAGGTTCCCGACCGCTGCCTTATCAGGAACGCTGCTCCCGAAGCTATTTTGCTTATTGTTGCGAACACAAACTGACGTGCACACACAACGCCCACTCTCCTCCCACCCCCCGACCCCTAGGTGAAGGAACGACCTTCCTCGTGGGTGCCGATGGTATGCACGGGGGCAAGGACAAGGGCAGGGCTTTGCTGGAGATGAGGGCATTGGCTGAAAAAGAACCCAGGTCTTGGCTGATTGGAGAGAGTGTGCAAGAAGGTACAGAGACAAAGATCCCCTGTATAGGCTTCAACAGACCAGAACGTGATGTAGTAGTAGGTTTTTACCCTTTAAACTGGTACAAAACTGACACCTGTATACAAGGCATCATGTTTGCAATAACCACAACACAAGTAGTCAAAATGCAAACAAAAATAAAATGTATTATCATTATCAGAGTTGTTTCTTTTTGTTTGCATTTTGACTACTTGTGTTGTGGTTATTGCAAACATGGTGCCTTGTATAAAGGTGTCAGTTTTGTACCAGTTTATAGGGTAAAAACCTACTACTATATTTTGCCACTGGTAAAGGAGGTCTCATAGTGCAGAACGTGATGCTCGGTCGACCCACAACAGCGCGCCACTCAACACTACATCTGTCTCTCTCCTGGATTGAGATCATTTGGCTACTGATGTTGGCCGTGAGCGGGACATTGAACCACTGTGCCACCAACACCACCACCTCGCCCACTTACAAAGACAAAGGTCCCCCGTATAGCCTTTGGAGCAAGTCCTGTCTAGCGAGTAGCACCTATGAAGGCTGAGACAGCACTTGATTGGGTGGGTGGCCAGCATCGCGCCCATCTCTAGTTCTCCGATGTCTGCTTCTGTGGACTCCTCTTCACAGAGCCAGCAGTGAGCACTGTTGATGGACCGAGAAGGGGTCGTCGAAATTATTGTTATAATGTCACTTATTTGCTTATTCAGGAGAGCATCACAGAGTCTCTAACTCATTTGGGGAAACTTCTGAAGTCACACAGTGAGTGGAACGATAAGAAGACCTAAAGCCAGATGGTGGTGGCCATGATGATGATGTAACTAACTGTCGGCCATACAGGACATGTCCACTACGTTACAAATTGAAGAATTACAGCCAAAGTGTGGTGGTGGGAATGGTGGGACTGGTGGGACTGGTGGTGATGGTGGAATTTGGTGGGAATAGTGGTGATGGTGGGACTGGTGTGATTGATGAGATTGGTGGGATTTGATGGGAATAGTGGTGATGGTGGGACTGGTGTGATTGATGATATTGGTGGGACTGGTGGTAATGGTGGAATTGGTGGGACTGGTGTGATTGATGATATTGGTGGGATTTGGTGGGAATAGTGGCGATGGTGGGACTGTTGGTGATGATGGTGGCACTGGTGGGATTGGTGGGACTGCATGAGTGGTTCACAGAGTGTTGGTTGAGAATAAGTTTTCCCATTTTTTCTGGCAACAAAACAGCTGTGTTGAGATGTCAAAACACCAAACTGAAACCTTTTACAAGGAATGATGTCTGCATTGACCGCAATGCTTGTGGTCAGAATGTAAAGCAATAACGTACTCTGATAACACATGAATCAGAATCAGAAAGGGTTTTATTCGCCATGAAAGTTCGCACAGATGCATTGTCCTTGAAACACCAGAGACAGCTTTCTTTTGAGCCTCGTCTCAAAACGGTGTTAGACCAGAGGACGCCTTTTGGCCTTTTGGCATCCTCTGGTCTAAACCTATTGTCATATTTTGGTACTGGCTAAGGAGGTCCCATGATGTCGAGCGTTGGCTGTTGACAGGACCAACAGCTGCAGGCAAGACCTAGCAAGGGGAAGGGAGCGATGGCACCGCGTGCTGGCTTCGACAGTGATGACGATTGTAGTCGCTGACCCTCACCATTTCCCACATTTTACCCCACCCACCACCACCACCCCACCCTCCTGATGGTGCAGATGGAAAGCTGGTGCTGTGTACCCGCGTCGATCCGCTCTTTCTCACGCTCCCGTACCTCCAACGGGCACACGCCAAGGTACGACGCGCGGTGTAAAGACAAAGATCCACCTTATAGAGCTAAAGGCTGCTGGGGCAAGTGCTGGTAGCAAGCACCTATGAAGGGCATCACGATGCACGAATGGGGAGGGCAGCACCACGTCCGGTAAACAGTCACAGACAGACGTACAAAAGCACCTTAGACAAAGACATAGATCCCCCGTATAGCCTTAACATACTGTTGGGGCAAGTGCTGTTAGCGAGTAGCACCTATGAAGGCCAGAACAGTACACCAGGGGGTGGCCGGCCAGCACCACGCCCGACCGCCTTTATCTTCCCAGTGGCGATGTTTTTACACACCGCACCAGGTACCACTTTGAGGCTGAGTCGACCTAGGGGAGGCACAGGACCTGTTCAGATAATAGTCACTGACGCTGGCCGTGAACGGGAATCGAACTCTGCTCGCCGAGCTCGTAGGTCAGCGCACTAATCCTCTACGCTACCGCTCCCTACAGAGGGACTCACAGAAACAGACAGAAAGCCACCCACAATGCTGAAGCCACATTTTCAATGGCAGTGCTGATTCAATGCCTCCCCGGCCCTGCGGATGCATTCGCCGCTTCCCCCCCCCCCCCGCCTCCCGAGCCAGCCGCTCTCTCCTCCTTCGCCGCCGAGGCCCTACGAAGGTGCCGCTCGCGCAAATACGAGCGCCCAATTTCATTAGCGCCGCCGCCGCCGCCACCGGCACAAAAGGCAGCGCGCCTGGCGCTCCTCTTATTTATTTTATTTTACGAGCCCAAGTTTAAACAAAGCGGCGGTCGCTGGCGGAGATTCATTGCGCCGCTGACGCATTCCGCTATGGATTGCCGTGTAATTTCCGGCGCTGTGTCGCACGACTGCTGCCACTGCCGTCGTATATTTAATTGATCGTTGTGAACAGGAGTTGCGGCAGCGATTTTTCGTCTTCTCGCTTGTACGTGGGTCAGGATGTGTGCCGTATCCTGGATGTATCCCGTGGTGTATCGTGGTTGTGTGTCAGTGTGTGTGTGTGTGGGAGCGGTGGTGTAGCGGTTAGCGCGTTGCGCTACGAACCCGGCGACCCGGGTTCGATTCCCGCTCACGGCCAACAGTGACGATTATCTGAACCGGTCCTGGGCCTCCCCTAGGTCGACTCAGCCTCGAATGAGTACCTGGTGCGGTGTGTAAACATCGTCACTGGGGAGACAAAGGCGGCCGGGCGTGGTGTTGGCCACCCACCCCCTCGTGTGCCGTGCCGGCCTTTATAGGTGCACGCTAACAGCACTTGCCCTTACAGTCTGTTCAGGCTATACGGGGGATCTTTGTTATCTCTGTGTGTGTTTGGAGCGGTAGTGTAGCGGTTAGCGCGCTGCCCTGTGACCCAAGCTCGATTCCTGCTCATGGCCAACACCGGTGACGATTATCTTAACTGGTCCTGGGCCTCCCCTAGGTCGACTCATCCTCAACTGATTACTTGGTACGGTGTGTAGTAAACATCGGCACTCGGGAGACAAAGGCGGCCGGGCATGGTGATGGCCCCTCACCCTCTCGTGTGCCGTGCCGGCCTTCATAGGTGCTACTCGCTAACAGCCCTTGCCTCAACAGTCTGTTTAAGGCTATAAGGGGGGGTCTTTGTGTGTGTAGGTGTGTCTGTGTATTATATTTGTGTGTAGAGTGGTAATGCAGGAGGTTAATGCACTGTGCTACGGACATGGCAACTTGAGTTTGATTCCTGACCATGGTTAACAGTGACGAGTGTCTGATCTTGGGCAGATTAGGATCATTGAATATGAGCTACGAGGAAAGTGTTCAATCGGTACATATCGCTTGTTGTGGCGTGTGGATGAGAAACTCGGACGCTGACGCAGGAAATAGAACAGGAGCTGAAAAAGTGCCAAAAGCTTGGAGAGATGCTTGGGATTACACCGGGACTCCGCGAGAGGGCCGTGTGGAACGGAGAATAGACTGAAACTATAAACTAAACTTTTTATAGTAGTAGGTTTTTACCCTTTAAACTGGTACAAAAACTGACACCTTTATACAAGGCATCATGTTTGCAATAACCACAACACAAGCAGTCAAAATGCAAACAAAAAGAAACAACTCTGATAATGATAATGATATGCACTGTCCTTGAAGTTGATTGGTCCACACCCGAGACAGCTTTTCTTAGAGCCTAGTCTCCATTGGTGTTGGACCAGAGGACGCCAAAAAGCGTACTGCTCAAAGACAATGCACTATCAGAGTACTGAGAGCTCGGGTTGAGCATCTACATCATTAGACCTCCTTTGCCAGTACCAAAATATAATAAGAGGGTTTTTCCCCTTTTTTGTATTGTGGTTAATGCACACATGATTCCTTGTAAAAATGTTTCAGTGTTGTTGCCAGAAAAAAGGGGAAAAACCCTATTAGGATATTTTGATACTGCCAAAGGAGGTCTAATGATGTAGTTACTTAAAACGCATGTTTCTAAATGTGGGAGGGTGAAAACCGAGGGACCCAGAGAAAAATCCATGCGACCACGAGGATGAACATGCAAACTCCAAATGTACTTGCGTCAGGGTCGGGATCGAACCTACGACGTTCTGCATACCAGGCGAGGGAGTTAACATCTCGCCCACCGTGATCTCGGGGACGATATTAAGAAACGGTAAACGGCCTTGGGCAGGACGCTTCCCCCGAGGGAATGGTGGCGGTTTCATTGAGACTGATCGAGAGAACACACTGAGGAAAACGAAGAGCGCCGTGGAGATGGAGCAATGAAATCGGTGTTTCAGGATGCGAAATGGATTTTTTGGTATTGCGGGACCAATGCAGGTTTGGGAGGACTTCATCTCGCAGCGGATGGAACTCAACCGATGGCAGTGATGGATTTTGATTTAAAGCTTTCGTGACTGCAGGGATTCATCTTCTTTCGGTAAAGTCACGTAGAAGGGAAGTAATAAAATAATAAAAATAAAACATAATAAAATAATTCTCACGACGTTTCGACCACAACGCAAGCAGCCGTCCTCAGGTGAAACCAGGTCCGTCGAGGCGACAGAGTCTGAATGGCTCTGTCGCCTCGACGGACCTGGTTTTCACCTGAGGACGGCTGCTTGCGTTGTGGCCGAAACGTCGTGAGAATTATTTTATTATGTTTTATTTTTATTATTTTATTACTTCCCTTCTACGTGACTTTACCGAAAGAACCAAGAAGGCAGTGATGGAGTTACAATTTGGCTGTTCTTGTCGATGTGTTTGTATTTAATTGCAAAACAAGCCATACTTCTCCGGATATAATTCTGCAGTGTCTGCAACAACAGCAACAAAGACGATTGCATTGCAGCCAGAGGCCACAATCACCGCAACCCCCCCCCCCGTCCCGTCCCCCACCCACCTTCTTGTGCTAACCGCCCGTCAACGTTGAGTAATGTATTCTCTCTCCGCGCCGTTTGACGTGCGTCAGTGACGCCAACCAGCAAGCGCTTGTCATCCCAGCTGTGTTGAACCTTGGGTGATTCATGTCCCTAATTGCCCTTTTATTTCCTTTTCCCATTTTAATCACCATTGCCCTGACAGCCAGGATTTTGCCCCGTGTCCTCCGATGAGTGTTTGTCCTTCTCATGGCCGCCCGGCGATAACGAGGTCAGCTTTTAAAAAGGACGCTGTCCGCTTAAATGTTGTGTCCGAATCCGGGGTTCGGACACCTTTGGTTAAAACTGAGTTCTCGAATGTAGCGAAGTTGATGGTCTCGGCCTGGTCACCAATGATTGCACGTACCTTGCCTACATTTCCAGACCTGAGAATTGAAATAGCAATTTGACTGTATGTGACGAATATTGCCCTGCGACAGGGGTGGGTGAGAAAGTGCTCCTGCACCTCATTATGTGCGTCAGGAGGTCACGTGACGTGACCTCAGAGGTAGCTCCATAATATCCACTTCCGCAGGCTGTTGTCGAACACAAAGTTTTGCACTGTTCCTGCTAGGGATCTGAATGTATCATTTGTCTCACGACGCAATGTCTATAGCACAATCGGAATGAAACTGGGGGGAAATGCTAAATAGTTGCTGTCATGGAAGATTAAATTATAAAATAAAAATACCTTGACCCAATGAAGGTGTGCCCTTCCTGGTACAAACATTCGGCTGGTGGTGGTAAGGAGTCGGGATGGTGAGAGGGTGTGTCGAGGGGAAAGCTGAGGCGAGTTGAGCTTGCTGTGCCTGAGGTAGTGCTCCAGATAATCTGTGTGTTGGCCATTTTTTACTAATTAAAAAAAAACGTTGAATTATATTTTGATTTAAAGCTTTCGTGACTGCAGGGATTCATATTCTTGGTTCTTTCGGTAAAGTCACGTAGAAGGAAATAAAATAAAAACATAAAATAAATGTTTTTATTATTATGAACCTGAATTATGTTTGACATTTTGGAAAATTATGCCCAATAATACGCCTGGCAATTTTGCTGCACAACTTGAGTTGGCATGGCGGGGGAAAAAAAGCGACGCATACGTGGTGTGATGGAGCAGTCACATGATCTTCGGAGTCCGATCTTGTGTCCCGCTCAACAACAGGATGTACGTGTCCAGTAAACATGATACATTGGCTCAACGTTGCACCAACGTTTGGCTGATATTGTCCCAACCAAACGCCAACGTTCATGTTTACTGGATGTAGTGCAGTGTCCGTGTCATTTTGGATAAAAAACATTTTCGAAAGATTCTCATCGAGAGACGTTTTTTTTAGGTTTTTCGATTTATTTTAATTGTGAGGATACCTTTTCTGTACCGTGGTTTGGAAGTGGCTTTGCGGTTGAAATGCAAGGACGCGAGATAATGCGTACAACCTTGGGCAATGAAGACTGCACAGGATTTATCACAGTCGCCTTTCAACTCAAAATAATCATTGTCTTCAGCGAGAATACAAAATGCATGCAAACGAAAACACCTGACGATTTTTAAGGGAAGGTTGCATTTTACGTCATGAAAATACATTTTGCGCAAATATCGTTAACATCAGAGGGTAAATTACTTAGACCCGAAGCCTTATGTGCGGCGCAGACCAGCG